GTCAAGGTATCACACCAAGCAGTTCATTCGGCTTTATGTGCTTCCAAAGTCATGGGAAAATTCTGGTCGCATTTCTTCCTTGAAATTTGTGGGTCGTTTTCTGTGGACCTCGCCAGCAACGTTCACGTCAAGATTCATCACCCGTATACCAACATTATTGGTTTAGGAGACTCCAGAGAATGGAGAGCGCCATTCCTACCAGCTCTCACGTACATGTTCTTAGCACCACTATTGTTTCCTATTGTCAGCCCATTGTTTGTAATCGCTGAGTTAACAAAGGCGAACAAATGGAAGGAATTGTTACGTTGTACGCTCTTCATCACTGCTGGTATCTTTGTTAACATTACCCTGTTGATGAAAGTATCTGGCCTGAAGCTGATGACATCACTTTTGACAATGTGGTCTGCCAGAGCTGTGCTCAGTGTACCTTACATCCATGTAAATATATTTCAACACATTGGTCTGCCAATGTACAGCAAGGAGACGGCTCCAAAACGGTTATACCTGATGTCAACTGGCGTATTGAACTTATCACGAAACCCTCTCCTGGATTGGACATTCGGACATGGTATCGTCAACTGCCATGTTGAACATCATCTATTTCCTGAACTATCTGACAACATGTGCCTGAAGATTAAGCCGATAGTAAGCAAGTATTTGACAGGAAATTCTCTGCCGTACAACGAAGACACCTATATGAATCGTTTATGCATGTTTGTTAACAAGTATGAAGAGTTAATGGTGAAGTTACCACCTATATCTGAATTTATTGGTATCCAATAGAGTGACATTTCCATGGGACTTGACATTACCTGATGACCTGATTATTTGATGAGCTATTTGCAGGGGTTCAAGTTTATGGTGGCAAATAAATCTACACACAATGCACTTTATCTGACTACTTGATTTTACTTAAAAATTATTGTTTAGTATTAGAGTTTTAATTTAACCTCAAAAAGTGCTACATGGGGCTTTGGAATTTCATTTGACCTAGCGTGACCCATCACATTATCAAATTAGGTTATCTTCAAGTATCTATTGTACATTCCATTCATGAACACTTCTGCACTGACGAATCGTTCAACTCAATGATACCTTCCCCCAGTATCAGATTGTATACATAGGTTTTCTTGCACACAAAAAATACATGTATGTTTTAAGTCTCCTTTCCAAAACTGCTTTTTAAAGTAGAGATAAAATGCAATATAAATATAGTCTGCATCTCAACCTATCCAACAACTATCTCAACAGAGATTCTCATAGATTTTATCTTCTTATATTGCAATATGTTCTTCACATTTTAGATAAAAAACATTTCTTTTCTTTAAACCTACTTTCTTTTTTGATCTTCTAAAAGACTGAGTGAAAGATTAGGTTTTCTGCTGAAATTTGAACTTGGGAAAGATCATAATTCAGACACTATGAATCTAATACATGACTAAATGAAGCACCATTAGTGTATTTTAATGCAATAAATGTATATCATGTATGGGATATTTTAAGGGTATGTCGAGTGAAACATCATTCAGGAAAATAGCCATGGTACGGAGAAGTGCATGTTATAATTTATTTCTAAATGTAAATA